CGAACGAATCTCTAATTATTACGTCTTCACATCTCAAGGGCAGTAGTCATGCATCTTAAATTATAGATTCAGACTTTAAACATTCTCAGCATATTTTAGCCTTCAAGTAATAAATTAGTGCTTTGTCATTGTAAGCAGTATGTTTCTATTACAGCTTTACACTGGTCAACTACACGAAGATCTTTTAATGCAAATGTGAAACTAGAATGCTAACTGTTCATTATTCTTATACCACAGAATACATAAGTAGTATTCGTATCATAGAGGAACAGGTTTTGAATATGAAAACTGTGAAGATCCTGATTACTGCTTCGAATTGTGTATGGAAGTGTAGACTGTTGAATTAGAGACTTTTGAAGCACTAAGAATCAGTGGCTTAAGGTTCGGAAAGACACGGGGATATCATTCCATTATGGATAAAAATTATTCAATAAAATCCCACAGTGTTATACAGTAATATTAACTGATGACCACGTTTTGAGCACGATTTATTACTTATCCAGCTTTCCGACTTCATTTACATAATTCCATATCTCTGGTATTTGCGTTGAGTCACTTCTATTGTATGTGTTGAGTGTAGACTCGATGAACCAGGATTCAGTAATCAATCTCTCTCGTTCTCCACCTACCTATATTACTTTTTAGAATTTTGACTCTATCCCACCCATCCGATTGTGTGGTTGTGTATTAATTAATGCAGTGCGATTGCTAAATTTTTTTCCTAAATTACTTATCTTCGAGGGATCAATCACTCTAACCTTAGCTAAACTTCTATGTTCTAATAATCTGACTACTCCCGATCTACTAGTTCGACCTATGTAGTTAAACTCACAGTCATTGCAAGGTATTTTGTAAGTTACATACATTATTTTGTTTAATTGGTTCATTGGAGTCTTTTAACCTACAGAGCTTGTCCTACCTGAGTGAGTTTGTAAGTTTAAATGCCACGCTGATTCCTGCTTGATTAAGAGTTTCAGATGTCCCCTGGTTATATGGTAAACGTGTAGACTCTTTAAATTTTTTCCTATTTTTGTTATCATCACTAGTTTCACTACTATTTTTATTTTTCTTGTGTTTTCCTTTTTTTGACTATCCTAATGAATTCTATTGGATAGCTATTTAAGACAAACGCTTCATCTCTCTGTTTCACTTCATCATTTAGGCTTTCTGATGTACCACTTAGTGTTCTATTCTTATATTAATGATACATATGATCCTCCGACCAGGAAGCTTATCAACATACGATTTTACCAAACTGGAGCATTAAGTGGCTGCTAAAGTGAAACATATCAGCAATAAGCAGAAGTATTCGAAACAAGAACGTGACTTTATGAAGTCAAGTTTTGGTTCTCAGGGAGTAGATCGATTGATTTCAAGCTAAATCATGAACTGATAGGTCGGTTAGAAGAACCAGTGAAAGTTAGGAATCACTGGATAACAGTTTCATCTAAGTATGAGACTCTTCAGCTGTACGAACCCATCACGTCTTCATCAGCTGAACTCAGGACCTTCAGGCTGGAAGGTGAGGATGGGATACAATTTTTACCAAAAAGATACAGGAGAACTTAACAGTCACTCCTTATCATACAAATGTCTGTAATCTATTTCAAATATTTACCATTCATATGCAGTTAACCACGAGCTTGAAGGTAACAACCACACCCAGTTAGAAACAACACCACCTCCACTCGGAACACAAGAGAATGGAAAAGAAACTAGACACATCATCAGTTATAACTTCGACGTGAGGTTACTTTAATGGAATGTACATTATAGAGCTCAGACATCAATAAATTCTCAACAGTACCTAAGCAAGTCGTCATTTCAGTGAAACGATGACGACGATGTGCTTACTATCCGGACTTGATAAATGAAGGAAAAAATCTCCAAGTTAGTAGTCTAAAGACTGACAGCTTGAATCCCACTGTGGCCATAATTGACACCCTAAAGTTATATTCCATGACATTCTGACTTTAGTCACGGAGAATATCTCTACACAAACTTATACCTAAAAGAGAATAAAAGTGAGGAAATCGAATATCAAGTGACAGTGAACGTAAAGAAAAAAGTCAGAGATATGATGCGATTCATATCAGTAACATCAAAGCGATTGACCTGGCACCCAGCTGTTTAATATACGAAAGTCAACTACCGCATGAAAAATTCCCATTCGAACATTAATAGACAGAAGTCCAGCACTTCAGCGAAGAGTCTCTTTTCGCTGGCGAATTCATTTTCATAGCTGTACAATCGCAAATATCTATGTGGTTGTTTTGTATGTGTGTGTACATTAAATTTGTCAAACGAAAATACAATTAGTAAGTTCAAATGAACTGGATGTTGATATAAGAGGATAGTAACAAAAGTGATGAGTTGTCACAAACCGTTGTCAACACTGGTCATTCCGTCTCAACAAACGTCTCCTTCAAAGTAATCTACAAAGTGAAGAACAACCTTCCAAAGACAGTACGATTCCGTCTTCTTTGCATCGCAGAAGCCCTAGCCATTCAGTTGGAGAAACCAGAACTGTGCATACAAAAGAAAATTATTCAACCACTTCTACTCCCATGGTAACAACTGTGTTGATTTGACTTAACTTTTCTTTGTTTGTTTGATTTGACTTAACTTTTGTTTGTATGCTTATTTTTCTACACAAAACCCTTGTGTAATTCCGTATATTTTGTTTCCCTGTACACCCTGAGTACAACTCTTTCATTAAACTATTCATTTTATCACGCAACTGTTCTTTAACAGTCGTTTGTGACAACTCATCACTTTTGTTACTACTACCCTCTTATATCAACATCCATTTCATCTGAACTTACTAATTGTATTTTCGTTTGACAAATTTAATGTACACACACATACAAAACAACCATATAGATATTTGCGATTGTACAGCTATGAAAATGAATTCGCCGGCGAAAAGAGACTCTTCGCTGAACTACTACTTGTCTTCTGCCTATTAAAGTCAAATACTGCATGAATTTTATTCTCCTTCTTAATAATGACAGAATTTTGGGAGCATCAGATACTATTAGATTTCAAGTCACACATAATGTTCCCACCTTATAAGCTTCAAACGTCAAAGCAGCATTTGTGTTCAGCGATTTGAATTTGAAACTAATATTATAAAGATTTCAATGATCGTCAAGTGTCAGTTTTTGGGATATGTTTGATTGCAAGTTATTTTATTGACCATTATTTATTGTTCCCTTGAGTTATAAGTGGAAAATAAGGACTCAAAGGGTACATCTTAACTTCACCATATTCTCTGTGGTCTTCTTTAGATGACCCCACAATCGTCCATATTCTCTCATCTCCTGCTAGTACGATCTCCTCCATGTCATCTTTGGACCGATACCCAACTCGTCATTCGGGTTCCACTCAAGCGATGGCGTGACCCTCGATGTCACACGACAGTCTACTAAGCGTTTTTCCTGTCCATCTCCATTTCTTTCGGAACATTTGTCCATCAATAGGTTCTTGGTTAGTTCGTTCCCATAGTTCCTTGTTGTGAATTCTTTCTGGTCAGTTGGCCATCTGATCTTCAGTATGGAACTAGAGAAGGGGGAATTTGTTGATAAAAGTCTGTAGTAGCCTGCTGAAAACGCTTTTTGTGATGCACGCGCCAAGTTTCTGATCCATATACAAGCACCGACTGATTAAATTGGTACTGAAAATCTTAATTTTGTGCTTTGAAGTTTCCGTATTGACTGGATTGATTTTCCTGAGTAGGTTCTGTACTTCCACGTTAACCATCCCTCTCTTTCCAGACGTGGGATCGGCCATAAAACTAGTGAGCTAGTAGACTAGACGATGACGGTTTTAAGCTAGTTTCCATCATAAACCTACATCAGTTAGGGAATCATTGACAGCCTAGTAATACTGGACGGGCATTACATCCACATTTTGTAAGCATCAATGACCCCACTAGGAAGTCCAACTCAAAACCCTCAGGTTATTAGATGAGCACATTAAATATAAATTAAAAAGTGAAAACCCACCTTTCCTGGAGATATAGCTAATTGTCTTATGCACAGGATTTCCAGCCTATGTGTCCAGAGTTCAAATCCCCTCTCCGCTTACTTCATTCTGAGTAACTGTGTAGTATTATCAGCTTCTAGCCTTGTACTGGATAGTTGAGTTTTAACTAACTAATTAACTCTAACTAATAACCCCATGGTAATACTAACCTATTGAATTAATGTTTAAGTGTCATTTTGTGTAAAAGAAAATTTATTTCATCTGTATGTTTAACTATTTTTTTTAATATTTAAAAGGGTCATTTGTTTTCTCAACTTATTATCATTATTTTATTTGTTTATAAGTTGTAAATAAATCAAGTCAAAAGCCTTTCAGTGTGATAGTTTGTGTGATATCGCAGATCTGCTTAGACGCCAGCTTTCTGGAAGAGAAATTGACAGTAGTTTCTACTTTAAGACACAAGTCCGCTTACATTTCCTTTTTTGTATTTAATTCGTTTTTTTTTAAGAAGTACTCATGCTCGTAGACTATTCGGCTCCTGGGAAGCGATCTGCCCAGATGGATGAATGGTTTACCAGCTTGTCTTCTAACTGGAAGTTCTTAGATCCAACCCTACTGGGTGCGAACTATTGATGAGTTCCAAGCTAGGACGAAATAACCGTCCAGGACTTCCTGCTGGTTTTCAATGGTTCTTTAACTGAGATCAATTCATGGTCAGACTTGAAATCCCTAAAAACTAACCCTTGAAAGCTTTCACATCGGCTATTAGACAAAGAGTTATTGCTTTCACTATCAACTGACAGTTTATGCTTCTAGTTAACTCATCTCTCAAGATGTCAGTCAGTTAACCGAACTAGAGACATTTCTGCCCCCTGAAAGAATCCGATCTCGTTTTCGTATTTATGTTGTGATTTCTGTGGATGCTACTTAATGTATTTTACGATTTTCATGTTAACACCTATTCTCATATGTCCGTGTGTGTGTGTGTGTACTTTTTCTTTTGGTCAATATAGATACTTCTTTACAGAACAAGCAACACAATTCTATCTGGCGTGTGTTGTTGAAGGATTGGATTATTTACACAGGAAAAATATTATCTATCGTGATTTGAAACCAGAAAATATAATGCTTGATACGCAAGGTTACTGTAAACTAGTAAGTGAACTCTGAATCTATACATTTATGATGAATTTGAAATAAGTTTTGTTTTGCAGATTTTGGATTTTGTAGCTGGTTTTTACCAGTTTCAATTTGTGGGAAGCACTGAAAAGTTGTCTCATCCTAGTTTAATACGCCTCAACAGTGTACACCCAAAACAAGACTGGGGATTGGACCCAAGGACTCCTAGATTACGTGGCGAGCCCACTAACCATTCAGCTACTAGTCTGAAGGAATCCAGTGAACCGTGAATTCTAACTTCTATCAATTCGCGACTTATTAATACTGCTTTATATCTGAAATAGAGGGCCACCAGAACTTTAGGACAGCCTTGCTGTAGCCAATAATCACTGGTAGATTGGTATTAGGATATTCATGGGTGTGCACTCATGAAGAGTCTCAAAGGAGGGCTAAACGGTTGTATGGTGCTCCTGGGTTTCCAATGATTCTTAAACTGGTGTCAGCACATGATTAAATCTACATTTTAATTAGTTTCTAACATCCAGAAAGGAATATTATAGTCAAGTCTTGTAGTGTGCATTCGCTTGCTTATGTTTCTTCCCTGTATATTGAAGCCACTAAATTGTAGTGTTTATTGATTTGGTGTTTGAACAATATGGTTTATACATATATATATGCACGTTACAGACTTTGAATGGTCGACAGGTTTCCCCCGTTACCAGAAGGTCGTGGGTTCAATCCCTCCTAGAGTAAGTGGGGCTGTGCCTCTAGAGGGCACAAAACTAGAACGAAATAGCTTGTTTAATGCACTGGTGGTTCAGTGGCAGAATTTTCCTCAGCTACGCAAGAGATCCATGTTCGACCGCTAACCGATGGATGCACTTTTGAACCTCACCTAGCCGATTGCAAGCCCGGAAAAACGGAAAGGTTGAAGAGTAACAACCCCATCTCTTAAAAACAATAAGACCATTACTGAAACTTCGAAGCTTGAAGACGCATGTATCACTCGGAACCCAAGAAATAAAGATATACATATATATACATCAATTTCACCGACTTTGAAAAGGCTTTCGATAGGGTTGACCTAGAAGTAATTTGGGAACTACTTCAAAACTATAGTGTGCAGTGCCCCAAATCTTTATCAACCTGATTCAACGGCTATATGATAATGCCGCGTATCAGGTGATCCACAATGGAAAACTCAGCGAGGCGTTTGAAGTGAATATAGGAGTAAGACAAGTTTGCCTACTATCACCCATGATGATATTCCTAATTGTGGTGGACTGGATCATGCCAAAGACTATGGGGAGCGAGTAGATCTCGTATTTCCACAAGCAAGAACCACCAAGTGTGCAGAAGAGGCTGGCAGAAAAGACAGGATTTCTAGTGAGAACAGAGGAAAGATGGAGGTGATGCAGACAACCAACCAACAACAGCAAGCACCAACCACTATCAATGGAAGAAATTTGAAAAGGTTCACTTCCTTCACTTATCGAAGAAGCATCATCTCAACTACAGATGTAACGGATAAAGAAGTCAAAACCAGAATCTGAAAGACAAGGAGGACATTCATCACACTGAAATCAGTTTGGAAATTGTCTGCACCCCGCAGCATAAAGAACAAGATTCGGATTTTCAGCATAAATGTTAAGTCAGTCAGTTCTATATGCATCATAAACTTGGCGCATCACGATAAGCATTTCTGAGAGGCTAATGAAGACTTTTGTCAACATCTGCCCCCTTCGCTAGCCCCATACTGAACATCAGATGGCCAGCCAGGAGAAATTGGCATCAAGGAACTATGGGAACGAACCAGTTAAGAGATTACTGCTCAACAAATCTGCAGAAGAAAGTGCAGGTGGATAGGACACGCAATGAAGAGACTATCGGATGACATAGCACGCACGGCAGTCCTATGTTCGAGTGGAAGGCGAATGGGGATCGATGGGTTGGACAGAGTTCCATGGGTGACATGGAGGAGATAGTACTTGGAATAGATGAAAGCTTATTGGCAGTTGTGTGGCCAGCTGAAGAGGATGGCAGAGAATAGGACAGAGTGAACATGTCCTGTTGAAGCCCTACGTTCTACTTGGAGCCGAAGGGAACAATAATAATATTGATAATAATAATAATAATACAGACATTCAGTCGCTCAACAACAAGATGTTAATAGAGCAGATAATCGTTTCAAATGACTGTTAAACTGAATTTTCAGATTTTTGGTAGGAATACAATCATAAGTAATTACTGTCATATTTACTCGAGATTACGAATAAATAACCTTAATTTAAGTTGCCTACAAATCAGCTACATGTAAACCCTTTGCTGAGATGATCATCATAGGAAGAATGTTTATCATACGTGCCATTACTTGCAAATCAACACTTGTAACATATTAGTGAATATATTGCCTTTGTTATTAAGGCTTTTATTAACAATTATAACTATTACTCGATAATCACATATGTTCAGGGAAAATTCCCATTGGGACATATAGAAAATCAAAACAAGTGATTCAGCAAAGAGACTCTTTTCAACGAATTTATTATCAAGCTCTACAATCGTATATATATATGGTTTTTAAAATAATCATATCCACTGAAGGAATTGGACCATAGGTGTGAATAGGTAAAATAATAACAGTATGAAAGGCAGTTCAAATGTTTCGCTTTGTTGATGACTTTTAAGGTGGAGGCTGTAGAGATAGGGTGATCATTATCGACTAGATGCTGGGTGATCGCGCTTTTCATTGCTCCACTTCTTCCTCTTTGTAACCAAGCAAGATAGTGTTCTTGCACTCTCTTGGACAAAACTCGAGTCGAACGACTGATATACTTAGCTCCACATGAGAAAGTGAACTGATAAACGCACATATAGTTGGTCAGCTGCAGGATCTTATCCTTCACATACGTGTATACATGCACTTGACGATGCGCTGCACCTATAAAATATTTGTTAGTGGTGATGCCACCGTGATATGGGTCGTGAGAATAGTACACACCCATACTACCACCTAACTAAACCTATAAGAAGGTATCAGTTTCTTCTAAGTTTCAAATTTTATTTGCTGCAATGTTGCCACTTCCAACCATCCAACATAGTTTACATTATATGCATTTTTAATTTAGCTATTCAACTGTTGTATGGAAAAACGAGCTTTTACAGTTGGTAGAAAATGGGATACTAAAGGTTTTTAAGCTTATACTCGGCTAATCACCTCCATTGGGAGTGGTGTTTACGCTGTCTGTTTCGTCTTAGATAGGTTAATAGAATCTATTCTGTCATCATTAGGATTTAAACAGACTGTATGTTTTGATTTTTTTTCTTCTGTATTATATGTATAGACTGATCTTGGATTTGCTAAACACTTACCATATGGAGCTAAAACATGGACATTCTGTGGGACACCAGAATACATGGCACCAGAAGTTATACTGAATAAAGGACACGATTCTGCTGTAGACCATTGGTCATTAGGAGTGTTATTGTTTGAATTATTGACAGGGCTGTAAGTATTAATAACACAAAATTATCATTATTATTATTATTACTATTAACGTATGATTACTGTTGTTGTTAGGATAACTTACTTTACTAAGAGTCTGCAAAGATTTGTTACTTAGAATTATTCAAATAAATAACTCATTCGTGCTTAAAATGTAGGACCTAAATGTGTTGTATTATTGCGTAATACTTGACGAATCCCCCCCCCCTCCGAAACTAATGTACACTGGTACCGGCTTTATCAGTAGCTTACTTCACTTATAAAGTACTCAAATTGAAGCACAAAGACAATAAATTAATCCTTTCAATAGAGATATGTTTAATTTGGTGGATGGTGACTAGCAGTAGAATAAAGGATGCGTATTTCGTCCTATTTGGGACTTGTCACCTGGATGCATCTGTATTCTCCAGTGAGTCAGTGATAGTGTTCCCATTAAGGCTTGAACTGCATTACCCGTTGTTTCGAACACCTAAGTGTTATCCACCAGACGACTTGGGCCACAATAGCCACCTCTTTTGCAACGGGTGTCAGTTAATTACTGACTTTTCATTCAGTTTTGACTTTCCGTTTAATTGATTGGTGGAATAAAGATTAATTTTCAAGTATTGGTTTTTGTTGGGATTCTTGTTTGATTGGTTGGAGGATTTCATCATGAGCTGACATCAGTTAGAGAACCACTGGAAAACCTGGGAGTACTAGACAGCTGTTTCATCCTTGTTTGGGACTCTTCTGCAGTACTCACCCACCGGGATTCGAGCTCAGGGCCTTCTGGTTACAAGGCTAGCGAGTTTGTAGACCATTACGCCACTGGGACCTGATCCCATGGCTAACCCATGAATTCTAACTTCTGCCAATTCATGACATAGTGCGACCACTTGGTAATGTCTTCTTCGATGAGTTACTGCCCCCACCCCTTAGACCTGCTGTACCCTACTGGTCACGGCTTCCCACTAGAACCCCAGGTTAACTGCCTGAATAGGGCTAGTCACTAGTGAGCATTAGATTAATTTTCAAGTAATGGTTTTGTAGGGATTTTGTTTGATTGCATGGAGGATTTCATCATGAGCTGACATCAGTTAGAGAACCATTGGAAAACCTGGGAATCAGAATTCAGGGACCATCGGATCGGGTCCCAGTGGCTCAATGGTCTACGAGCTCACCTTGTAACCAGAAGGTCCTGGGTTCGAACCCGGGTGGGTGCGTACTGTGAGGAGTCCCAAAGTAGGACGAAACGGCTGGCCAGTACTCCCAGGTTTTCCAGTGGTTCTCTAACTGATGTCAGCTCATGATGAAATCCTCCAACCAATCGAATAAAGAATAAATTTGACTTTTCAGAAAAGGTTTAGCAACTTATTTGATTGATAATGACTAAACTATGGCTTCTTCTGAGACACTTCGAATTAACTGACACAAAGACAGCGTCAAATGACATCGCAGCCTACACACTAGAGACATGCTAGTCAGGACAAAAGTTAAAATAACTTTAGTATCCCTGAGTGGACTTAGAAGTTTACTTAGCCAATACTTAGTTATTTCATTGTAGTCTATGTTTTCTAGCCCTGGTTACATTACACAACATTAACAGTTAATTTTCAGACGAATCGGGCCAAGTTACAGAATAGTAACCACTATCAATCTTCAGAATTACTTTGAGGTAGCCGGTCATGTGACTACTATTCATGAAAACTGTGTAAATTATACTTTTAAAATTTGTTGGTGATATGGTTTGACAATTAGTTTTACATTTGGGTTTAATATTATACGCTATGGCTAGGAGTTGGATTAAAGATAGATTTAGGTTAGAATTAGGGGGTTAGGTTAATACAGAATTGTCCCATTTAGCAGTTTAAGCATTTAAATTTACAATTTAGCAGTACAAACATAAGATCAGAGGAAATATTAAAAAGATGGTTGCAGTGAAGAGAATTTTGTTCTCGATGAAGTCCTCAACTAGGCTTTACATTCGTGTATTTATAGTAAATGGGTAAGAAAGCTCCAGAACTAATTGCAGTCAAGGGTCAAACTAATAAAATTACAAAATGTAATGCAGAGAAAGATCATATAAAACATGGTGACGTCATAATTACCGAGAAACTCGTCTTTTTGTGCAGTTAGGGATTAAAAACATAATAACAATAAAAAGTCAGGATGATTAGATAAGAAAGTTATTAGGATCACCATTATTAATAAGGCAGACTTTCCATGATGGCAGTGATAGAAGCAACGGTTGGACGTTTTCCTTTTGAAAATATAGTGTGGCCTTGAAATTTTGGATCACCAGTACCTCATCTATGCACAGATGCCTTGATTTCACTTCCCTTTGAGCGGTCAGATCGGATCTTTTACAAGTCTTTGAAGGTACTTTCAAGTGGAGCTGGATGTCGTGAATTTACCAGATCTTTTGTTACCGAACTATGTACACATCTGCGTTCTGTCTTTGATATCCAGCCAGTTTGGATAGTGTTCCCTAGCGCGTTTTACAAGTGGACTCATGGTGAAGCCAGTGAACTCAACTCCACAAGAGCAAGTGAACTGCTTCATGAACGCTGAATTGAGTCAATGCGACAGCTTGTCTTTTACATGCTGGTTGAATAGTTTCTTGCAAGAAAGCGTCACTTGTAGAATGGTGGAGAAGTATGTTTTATTGAGAGAGTTCGAAAGCTTTAGCATCGCTTTTAAATTAGAGATTAAGTACAAGCATCGTTTTGGAGATGACTTGAACCTGTTCAGAAGTTTTCTTTGGTTTTAAATTCTTGTCTATAAATCCAGGTGGGGAACAATTTTCTGTCAAGGCTTCTTGGAGATTTTGTGATTATCTGTCAATTGATTTCCAGACCCTCGAGGAAAGAGAATATACGACGTTTATCTTTCTGCTTAGTGGAAAACAACTCCGAAAAATGATAAACTACACAGTAGCAAACTTTCTATTTGCATGCACTAATGGTTGATGTGCCTATTATCGAACTACTTATGTACACTAGTCAGTAGTATACAGCGTCATACATCTAAAATCGTAAATATGTTTGAATTCGATGGTAGGAAAGTATTAGAACGTCAAGGTATTACTTTTGCATTTCATACCAGAATGGATGAATAGCTCAAAAAGGTTCACTTTCAATCTACTTTGGAAGAAAGTAAAACAAAAATCGTTTTCAAAGAGTTGATCACGGATTGATATCAGTTAGAGGACCATTGAAAACCAGCACTGGAGTACTGGACAGCTGTTTCATCCCCCTAGTTTGGGAATCATCGACAGTACGCGCCCACCAACACGGTTCGAACCCAGGACCTTCAGGTTACAAGTCAAGCTAGCTCGTATACCATTCAGCTACTGGTACCCAACTCAATGGTCAACCAATGAATTCTAACTCCTACCAATTCGTGATTTTTAGCGCGACCACCAACCAATGTCGTCGGTGGGACATCCAACCTCACACTTGACATTTGCATAGACCTCAGTGGTCACGACTTCTCACTAGAACTCCAGGAAACTCCCTCCTGTAGGAAGTCACTAGCGAGCAGCAGATTAATTTTCTATGATTGGTTTGTAAGGATTACATTTGTTTTTACCTGTTGATCACGGATTGATATCAGTTAGAGGACCATTGAAAACCATCAGGGAGTACTGGACAGCTGTTTCATCCCCCTAGTTTGGGAATCATCGGCAGTACGCACCCAGCGGTTCTCTAACTGATATCAATCCGTGATCAACTCGTAAAAACAAATTTAGTCCTTACAAACCAATCATAGAAAATTTCTAAGAGTTTAATCAATAATTTTCTCCTAATTTTTTCTTCTCTCCAGGCCACCATTTGAGTCACCAGACACAATGCGTACATATGGAATTATATTGAAAGGGATAGATGCTGTTAAATTTCCTACAAGAATGTCTAAAAATGCCCAGTGTTTAGTGAAAAAACTATGTCGGTAAGTTTTTTTTTTTGGGGGACATGAGTACATTCAAACAACTCATTTTGATTTGTAGTAAATACAGACTTGTTGTTGAGCTCATTTTCTCGATTTTCATTCATCGTGTTAAGCATGTCACTTATTATCATTTGAGTATATTGTATTCTCAAAATAAACTGAGGTGAATTTTCATCTCAGACTACGTAAATTAGAAATTACAAATTTGATGGTTATGATATGAACAAACTGAAATCTACCAATGAGAGAATGTTATTATTATTATTATTATTGTTCCCTTGGGTTCCTAGTGGAACATAGGGCTTCAACTGCACGTCTCCACTTGCTTCTGTCTTCGGCTGTACTTTTCACTTGCGTCCATGTTATTCCATACTGTTTCAACTCCTCTTCACATGATCTCCTCCATATCACCCTTGGACGTCCCACTCGCCGCTTCCCTTTCGGGTTCCACTCGAGCACTGGCCTGACGCGCGATGTCACCCAACGGCCTCCTCAGCGAGTGTCCAATCCATCTCCACTTCCTCCTGCATATTTGTTGGGCGATTGGTTCCTGTTTCGTTTGTTCCCATAGTTTCTTGTTTGTGATTCATTCCGGCCACCTAATCTTCAGTATGGAGCGAAGACAGTTTTTGACAAAGGTCTGCAACAGGCTGTTGAAAATATTCTTGGTGACCCGCCAAGTTTCTGATCCGTAAAGCAAAATTGACTTGACGTTTGTATTGAAAATCCGAATTTTGTTGTTGATGCAAGCTGAGTGACGAAGATTTCCAGATTGGTTTCAGGTTGATGAACGTGTTTCTCGCCTTCCAGATTCTCGATTTGACATCCTCGTCCGTTCCTGCTGTTTTTGAGACAATGCTCCCTAGATAAGTGAAGTGAATGGCTAAACCTCTTTCAAATTCCCCCTGTTGATGGTGATTGGCGCTGGATGTTGCTGCTGCTGCTGTTGTTGGTTGGTTATTTTCATAACCTCCGTCTTGTCTATGTTCACCTGGAGTCCTGTCTTCTCTTGCTGCTTCTTCGACCAGTTTGTCGGTTTTCGCTTGTAAGTCTTCGATTTTGTGTGACATCAAACATAATTCATCCACGCGCGAAACTCAGGTCTTCTAGGTTCTTCACGTCGGTCCAGGATATCCCTGTCTTCTCGTTTCCCACTTTCTGACGCATAATCCAGTCCACCACAATTAGGAATATCATTGGTGATAACAAGCACCCTTGTCTGACTCCTGTGTTTACTCCAAACGCTTCGCTGAGTTTTCCGTTGTGGATCACTTGACATGTGCCATTGTCGTACAGCTGTTGAATAAGGTTGATGAAAAAATTCTATTTGTAATATCTCAGCGATATTGAAATGAGTAATTCCAACGTTTCGTTATGTTAATTTTGATTAATTTCCCTGAAGAAGTTCGGACCAGATTGCCGAATGAAACGTTGGAATTACTCATTTCAATATCGCTGAGATATTACAAATATAATTTTTTACAAATGTCTACTTCTCACTCGGCGCCCAAATATTTAAGAACTATTCGGTCAAATCTTGACGACAGTTCATTTGAAGGTTGATGAATATTTGGGGTACGCCGTAGTACTTGCGTAGTTTCCAAATTACTTCGCGGTCAACGCTGTCGAAGGCCTTTTCAAAGTCTATAAAGTTGAGGTAGAGATTTGATCGCCATTCCATGCTTTGTTCGATGATAATGCGTAGAGTTGCAATTTGGTCAGAACATGATTTGCCTTTCCTGAATCCAGCTTGTTCTGGTCGGAGTTCTGTATCCAATGCGTCCTTTATTCTCTCCAGGATGATGCGACTCAGGATTTCACTTGGCGTCGACAGGAGCATGATTCCTCGCCAGTTCTTGCAGAGTCCTAGGTCGCCCTTCTTTGGTAGTTTGACTAGGTAACCTTTCCTCCAGTCAGTAGGCACCTTTCCGTCTTTCCATATCTTTTGCAATAATGGAGTCAGCATATCTGCCGTCGTTTCTGGGTCCGCTTTCAGTGCTTCAGTGGTATTCCATCTGGTCCAGCTGCTTTTCCAGCTTTCAGAAGCTTGATTGCATTCATGACTTCAGTTTTCGTTGGAGGATTGGTGTCAATTTGCAGTTGTGTACGTGCTGTTGTTGGTATTTCTGGACGGGTTGTAGGTGGTGGTCGGTTCAAGAGTCCTTTGAAGTGGTCCGCCCATTGTTTAATCTGTCTTTCTTCTTTGGTAATTGGGTTCCCTTGGCTGTCTTTTATAGGTTTCACTTGTGTTGATCTCTTCCCGGATAGAGACTTGGTTATCTGATATAGTGTCCTCAGGTCCCTTTTGCCTGCTGCCTTCTCAGCTTCAGTAGCCAGGTTGTCGTAGAATTGTCTTTTGTCCTTCCTAGCACTCTTCTTCACTTCTTTGCCCAGTGCTGTGTAAGTTGAGCTCAGCGTCTCTTTCTCTTGTCCATCTTTGCATTGAATCATTTTCTCTTTCACAATTCTCCTCTCCTCTATTAGCTTCCAAGTGTCCGTTGAGAACCATTCCTTGTCTTGTCTCTTCTTTCTTCCTAAGACCGTTGAACACGTTTCGTTGAAAATCACCTTCAGAGAGTTCCAATGGTCTTCCACGGATGATTCCTCAGTGGTGCCACGTAGTGTTTCCTGCTTTGCTCTGACAGTTGCAGTGAAAATGTCCTGTGTGATTGTGTCCTTTAGTTTTTGCGTGTTGAACTTGCATTGTGGCCTATTTCCAGGTATCCTCGAGGCTTTTAGCTTCAGCTTGAAAGTCCCTTGTGCTAGATAGTTGTCTGAACCCACATCTGCTCCTCTCCTCGATCTTGTGTCCAGTAGGCTCCGTCTCCACTTCCTTGAGATTGAAATGAAGTCTATCTGGTTTTTGGTGTGTCCATCTGGTGAAATCCATGTTGCCTTGTGTATTTCCCTGTGTTTGAACACACTGCCACCAGTCACCAAATCATTGAAGGCGCAGAAGTCTGAGAAGAGTTCGCCACTTTCGTTCATTTCACCGAGGGCCTCACGACCCATGGTGAGTTCTCTTCCTGTATTGTCTCCTCCCAGTTTCGCATTCATGTCGCCCATCAGGATTTTGATATCGCTCTTTGGGACGTTGTCCATTACTGTTTGTAGTTGACTGTAGAAATCCTCCTTCTTCTCATGTTCTGAGGCGTTTGTAGGCGCGTAGCACTGAATGATTGTAACCCTCTTTCCTTTTGAGTTGAACCTGGCTGTCATTATCCTGGAGGAGATTGGTTCCCACTGCATGAGAGCTTTAGCCGCTGTTGGTGACATCATGATGGCTACTCCCTCGGTGTGCTCGTGATTGTCCTCTGGGTGACCGGAGTAGATTATTGTCTCTCCAGTTGATAGTTGGCTCCTTCCACATCCGTTCCATCTGCTCTCGCAGATTCCCAACACTTCTATTTTATATCTCCTCATTTCTGCGGCTACCTGAGCAGCCTTCCCAGCTTCGTACATTGTACGAACATTCCACGTCCCCATCCTTATTTTTGCTTTCATCGAAAGAAGGCACATCGGCTGACTGGCTTCCCGAAGGCTTTCACCAGCCTGCGTCATTTCACTTCCCCGATTCCAGCGAAAAATAAGGTCACTATTTGTAATTTTAGAGTTTTGAATATATTTGTGCGTTGAAGTTTTAGTAGCAATTTGGTTAAGTTTTGGGGGTGGAGTTGCTAGCACCACGCCCCAACCCTCCCTCTTTATCCGGGCTTGGGACCGGCTAGAATACTAGTGACCTAGTAATCTAGGCGAGGTTAATGAGAGAATGTGTGAGTGGTCTAAACTAGACTGTTAGCATAACGCCTACGCACTGGTAAACAGCTTACTCATTCGCTGATTGGCAGATGTCAGCTTGATGATATTAGGGCCAATCAGCTGATTATATTCTTTATCAACTGCCTGTATTATCAGTTCATCCATGTAGCTAGTCGACCAGCTTCCACCGTGTTTTGAAATGACTCTCTGAGTTGAAATAAACTGACTATAATTTTGATGAACTTACCTATAAATGAGCAAAACAACCTTCCTTCATTTAGGTCATCATGACCTATTTTGTTATATCTCTTAATCTAATATAATTTAACTTCTGTTGGGTTTTATTTCGGGTGAGACTAGAGGCTATAGCATGATGTTTTCACGCATAATATAGCAAACGCTTAAACAAATATTCTAGCTGTACAAAAAAGTTGTTATAGCACCTTTAAGACAGCCAAACGCAACATTCGATATGACCACGTCATTCCTCTAGATACGAAATATAAAATCAACTACCTGTGGATATTCAAGTCGTAAGTGACTTCCTCCATTCTACCTTTCCCTAGTGCTACTAAGCCAAGGGCCTATTAGATCACTTTTCTGTAGATGGCATATGATAGACGTTAAGGCGTGGAATAATATTTTAAAATGGCTATCTATCTAAATTTATAGATTTTCATGAAGAATTGATTGAAAACAAGTTTCAAGATTTAGATTTTGACATTTCAATGACATATGGAGACTTTATTACTGAATAAATAGTTCGGCAGGAGTAACTACTAACATACTAGAGATTGGATATCCTATAGTGAGCATAATTTCCATGAGATTTAAGATATGACGTAGCAAATAATCTCAAAATGACATAGAATAAAGATCAATATTCCTACATCGATTGGCTAGATACTTCATTTTCCACCAGTGTAAAAGTTACGTTTCATATAATGGGTATGGTTCACATTCTTTCTGTATCATATATCCTATTTATTCAAATAATTTTTTTTCTAGTGAAAATCCAACTGAACGATATGGTGTAGGAAAAGGTGGACTACGTGAAATTGAGAAACATGTTTGGTTTGAAGGTTTTGATTGGGTTGGATTACGTAAACGTGCACTGAAAGCTCCTCATGAAAGACAGGTAATCTGATTATTTAATGCAGTAAATTATCCTGATAAATAAATCATTTTTGAAATGACACAGAGAGTTTAAGTCAGTTCTAAATCACTTATTGGAAGACCATTGGAAACTAGGGCAAAGTTCAACAATAGCGTCCCAGGAGTGAGAACGCTCCAATGACCTTGAAGGCATGCTAGTCATTGCCTAACGCCACCTGTCATTACCATAGATAAAATATCAATGCTCTTCACCAACTAAGGGGCGAATTTCACCCAGATCAAGTTTTTATATACTGTCTAGCTAATGTGTTAATAGCTCGTTACGGTTAGGATTAAGGTTAAGGTAAGTATTGGAGTTAGATTTAGGGTCAGTGTTGTAAATAGGGTATTACGATTAGAGATGGATTTAGAGTTGATGTCATTTATTTTAATTAAGCGAAAACCGACAAACTGGTCGAAGAAGCAGCAAAGACAGGACTCCAGGTGAACATAGACAAGACGGAGGTTATATAAATAACTAACCAACGACAACAACAGCAATATCCAGCACCGATCACCATCAACGGGAGGGATTTGAAAGAGGTTACTTCATTCACTTATCTAGGGAGCATTGTCTCAACTACAGGAGGAACGGACGAGGATGTCAAATCGAGAATCGGGAAGGCGAGAAACACATTCATCAACCTGAAACCAATCTGGAAATCTTCATCACTCAGCCTGCTGCATCAACAACAAAATTCGGATTTTCAATACAAACGTCAAGTCAGTCAGTTCTTCTATACGGATCAGAAACTTGGTGGTTCACAAAGAATATTTCCAACAGCCTGTTGCAGACATTTATCAACAGCTGTCTTCGTTCTATACTGAAGATCAGATGGCCGGAAAGAATCACCAACAAGAAACTATGGGAACAAACAAAACAAAACAAGAACCAATCGCTCAACAAATATGCAGGAGAGAGTGGAGATGGATTGGACACTCGCTGAGGAGGCCTCTGGGTGACATCGCGCGTCAGGCCAATGCTCGAGTGGAATCCGAAAGGGAAGCGGCGAGTGGGATGTCTAAGGGTGACATGGAGGAGATCATGTGAAGAAGAGTTGAAACAGTATGGATTAACATGGATGCAAGTGAAAAGTACAGCAGAAGACAGAAGCAAGTGGAAACCTGCAGTTGAAGCCCTATGTTCCACTAAGAACCCAAGGGAACAATAAAATAATTTTAATTAGTTTCCTTATCCACATCTTTGGATAAGTAGTCGTCGATCCACTTACTGGAAACCATAGTTATTCAACCAAAGGGCTTTGGGGAAGACTACACAACAGGATAACAGAGATCAACGATTCACAAAAATAGCTCATCTTCAGTCACCTCGGTGAATACATGTACAGAAACTAGTGTAACTCAGCAACTGATACTCCTCATTACAACTGGGACGTATTTTTAAGCCATGTCAGAGAAAGATAGCATGTGTTAGTGTGCTTTCATGCATTTTCTTGTAAATATACGTCATTTTTATTATTGGTCGGCTCTAGGTCACTCGTGGGTTTGCATCCTTTGGGACGCTATTGTTGAACTTTACCGAAGACTGAATACAACTGAAACAGCGACTGTGACAACGTTCGAATATTAGGCAGTTGAAATACCAAGAACGCCAGAGAGTTTTTGAAGGCTTGGTATTCCAGTGTTACGGCAATTAACAAGCATACTGACATAGATTATATTCACCAATCAGTAAGAGGAAAATCTAACTCACAAAAAGTCAAACTTCAGGGGTCAAGGAAACAATCATTACCAATACAAGTAGACTATAGGGTGTGAAAATAGACAGAAGTAACCAGTCAGGTTCAAAGTCACCAGAAGAGATGACTAATAAACTTGTGGAGAAATTTAAAGACTAACTTCGAATTGAAGTATGCTCTGAAGATGTGTGTTAAGGCAATTAAGGCTTCACAAGTAAGCCATCCAGTTCATAGAACACAACGACATCAAAATCATCCACCTGAGCCACAAATCTTCTCCATTATAGCTGCCCTTATTGATAATCAATTATAATCCTTTGAAATTCTATAGATAGTCTTAACTGCTAAAATTTATTAATGCAGATTAATCCGATAGAGATTGAATTTAATACAAAGGTAGTGAATAAAGTTTTACATATTCGCCTCATAGTGGTGAACTACTACTGATTCAACAGCTTAAATAAAAACCTGGTCTGGAATTGGAATCTGAACCAACGGATCTATAGCCGGACTTCCAACCAGCTCACCTGTGCGGCTCAACTGTAACCAGTTCATAATTTCACGAGTAGTGAAAGGATGTATGATAATAAAAGGACAGTTAGTTCATTCATACGACAACAGGGCATAAGTTTTGTATGCAGGTGAGTTAGAATTCCTAAATCACTATTAGTTCAAAAGTAAAGTGCTTACCTTGTAGCCTAAATGTCATTGGTAAAATTCCTTCCTACTTTTGAAGAGTTTTAAACTAGGAAGAAACAGTTTTCGAGTGCTCTTTAATTTTCACTGGTACTCTAAAACTGATTTCTGCATGGGATGAAACACCTGCAATCAGTAGTGTACTCAAGTTTCACTAAGAATACAAAAAAATACTAAGACAGAATTATGCCGTTTTGACAAGCACCACCACCAGAGGCTTAATCGATCAATGAGATCGTTTTGTGCCCGGCAGGTTTGGGTTCGAGCCCCAGTGGGTGTGTACTGATGAAGAGTCCCAAACTGGGACGAAACCAATCAAATCCCTGCCAACCAAAGCTTGAATAAGATAAATGATTGGCTTGTAACAATGAAATGAATGTTTTTGTTTGTTTGCTTTTTCAGATCACATTATTACTTAGTTCACTCAGATTTTTGACAGTATTCTTTCATTTTTTTAATCTTCTTTTGTATTATCACAAAGGTATTATCACAAAGTGATCTACGACATTTTGATACATATCCGGAAGACAGTGAAGAGCCTGAAGATGAAACATCTGGTTGGGATGAACTCTTCTAGTTGACAGTTAGTTATTCAGTCAAACCAGTTCAATGAAAATTCAGATAAACTATAATGTATTGTGTTCGTGTCTTATTTCCTCAGCTCGTCTTGAGTTATAAACTTCATACACCCACATATATATAACACTTATGTGTACTACATTACCCGAATTGTATTTTTATACTGTCAAGACAAAGGTATGCTAAAGTTTGTCAAGGAATCGTGGAATTCACATTATGCGCTATTAAACAGTTGAATAAATATGAATATATATTAAATTTTACAGCATTAGTTTGTTTTCTTTCAAGGGAGGTTATTGAACTAGAAACTAGTTATATTAATATATTAGTTTGTTTATTAGATGTATCACACAGTGAAGAAACAGTATTATTTACTGGATGACACAGTCTCGAACAAAATTTATGATTGTTCATAATCATATCAATTATAATCACACGACTTGGAAACTTGAGTTTTATAGTTTTCTTTGTTCTCTCCTATTCGTCGTCCTAGGGGTATTAGAATTCTCCATATGTCCGAGTGGACAGGTGTTGAATCATTCCTATTACACGTATTTGCAGTTGATTCGATAAATAAAGCTTCCGTTATCAATCTCTTCCTCCACCCTGCTGTTACATTAGATTTTAAAACTGTCATGTGATCCCATCCCATTGTATGATTGTGTATAATTGCATGTAGTGAGTGGTATAGCTGGACTATTCTCTGGATTTCTCATCTTATTTGGGTTAGCTAATCTAGATTTCGCTGCTAGGGTTTTGTGCTTGGCTAGTCTGACTGCCTCTGTTCTGCTAACAAAGAAAACTATAAAAGCTAATTATGTTTAATTACTGCATAATTGGTCCTGACAATCAGCCGTGGTATTAACGTCTGCAATTTGTCTCATTTTTGTAGTATGTGAAAATAATTTATTTTTAGTCTTTAGAGGATGAAGGTTGTCGATCAGTACTCAAGAAATGTCTATATGCTGATGAAAGTATATGTCCTATAGCCTTTAATGCACTTGTCTTGCGCATAACCAGAAAACTGTTAGAAGCCAAACTAGAACAATAAACTAATCGTCCAAAATACGAAACCTATTCCAGAGTCAGAAATGTCTGATTGATATAAGGATAAAACTTGGGTACTGAGGTAGAGTATAACTACATTATGGATAAGAGTTTATTTTGATAAATCACACAGTGATGTTATACAGTAATATTAACTGATGACCGCGTTTCGAGCACAAATTATTGCCGCTCATAATCATATCAAGTCAGTCACTCACACAAATTTTTACTTCATTTATATACATGAGTGAAATTGATGATTAGACATTTGAATAAAATTCAATATAAGATAATGTACATACATACATCATAACATTGTAACAAGTTACTTATTTTGACTAATAATAATAATAATCTACTTTATTCCAAAAACAGTACTTATAATACAGAATGAAATTCTCAGCATTTGTCACAATATTGCATCTGTTTTAGTCAAAATATAAATAAAATTAAAAATTAAAACAAAATTAATCGGAGGAATTTGTCCACATTTACGACATAAAGTCAAAAATATTCGAAGTACGAATTGAGATTATTAAATATAATAATAATGATAATAATAATAATAATAATAATAATAATAATAATAATTACAGTGAGTTTGTTTCAAACACTATTGTCGATTCACTTTGGAAACTTTAGCATGTTATAGACTATTGGATCTAATGTTCTGTTGATATAGTATAGAGAGGGGAAATACAAAATTAACAGTTATAACAGCTTACATTATGTCTACACTTATGAAAAAATAAACAAAACAAAAAAATTGAAAGGATTATAAATAAAAGAAATACAATAACAATAAAGTTTGATGCTTTAGGGGTGGAGGAAATGGTTTTTTAGTAGTGCAAAGAAGGTTAGTTAGTTCATGTCTGACACTAATTTCATTACATAAAGTACGTGCTAAATATGGTATAGTGGAATTTTTATACTTAGACGTACTTTCATAAATTCTTCTGAAAAGATTTCTTGTTTTACCTGAGGAGACACAAGGCTGGAGCTGCGGGTAGAGTGGGTGCTCAGAGTGTGACAAAATTCCTTTAGCGAATTTGTTGCATGACATCAAGTGCCTATCAGTGACAATGTCAACGATATGGCCCAATGAGATACCACTCGCCCTACTGACCGACAGTCTTCAGAGTTCTACGAAGTACGACATAGTCTTTTTTAAGCAATCCAGAAAAGAATAAGGGTGAACAGTAAAGAAGAATAGGTAAAATACACGAGTTGATAAACTGTAAGAGGAATGGCTGAGTTATGCCTGAGTGCCTTAACTTCTTAATGTAAAAAGTCAAACGAAGTATTCTTTTAGAAATCGCTAAGACATGGGAAGACCAGGAGAAGTCAGAAGAGAGAATTAATCCAAGATACTTAACTTCAGACTTGGTTTCTATAACATCAATATTTGCAATTTTGCAAGGGTCATAGGAACCAACGGCTTCATTTAATATTCGTTTACATCGGAAACTGAAATTAACAGTCTGACATTTGGAAGGATTAAGTTTAAGGCCGTTAGACGAAGACCATTTGCTAATTCTTGATAGAAAGTTGTTTATCTTAGTGCAATCAAGCTGGGAGTTAACAGACATTGAAATAGTTAGATCGTCGGCATACTTTGTTAAGTACGCCGACGATCTAACAGTCGTTTTATTTCCCATCTGATTGTAAATGATCAATAACACTCATATTATTATTCCTGTATGTACATTATCCTACATTGATTTTATTCAAATCTAATCAATTGCACTCATGTATGCAAATGAAGCAAGAAAGTTGTGTGAGTAGTGTCTTGATATGATTATGAGCAGCAGTAATTTTTGCTCGAAACGTGGTCATCAGTTAATATAACACTGTGTGATATATCAAAATAAACTCAGAAATGTCTGCTTAGATAACGAAGCGCATGCATACATACACGAACAACAGGACGTAACACAACGGGATACCAAATGACACCTATGCTTGATCGTTTACCTTCAGCTTAACACTAGTCGAGTTAAACAGTACAGGTCATCCATCATCTAATGTTTAATGATGAAAGTTGTTGACTGATGATTTTGGTGAATTATTTATGAAAACAAAACACGTAGATCAACGAAGAGTCTCTTTTCGCCGGTGAATTCATTTTCTTAGCTGTACAATCGCAAATATATATACGGGTTATTTTGTATGTATGTGTACATTAAGTTTGTCAAACAAAAATGCAATTGGTTATGGTTATTTCAACTAGACAGGTGAAGATTGGTAATACAAGTCAAGAAAATTAGGTGTTAATGAAATTAAGGTAGTAACAAAGATGATGAGTTATCACAAACAGTTGTTAAAACGGAGTTATGCAATAATATGAATAGTTTGATGAGTGAGTTTTACTCAGGATGCACATAGGAACAAAACAGATAATACAAAATTACGTAGGAGTTCTAAATGAATATATGAATTATAAGCAATTAAAGAACAGGCAGAGAAACAAAATTAAGTCATCAGAAATCAACAAAGTTGTTACCATGAAAGTAGAAGTGGTTGAGTAATTCTCTTTTGTATGCACAGCTCCGGTTTTTCTATGTGATTGGCCAGAGCTTCAGCGATACAAAGAAGATGAAATTGTATTGCCTTTGGTAAGTTATTCTTGACTCTGTAGATTTCTTTGAAGCAGGAGGCGTTTGTTGAAATGGAATGATCAGTGTAAACCAGGTGTTCAATTATCACACTCCTTAGTGCACCACTATTGCCTTTTCGCAACCATGCTGGCTGGATAGTGTTCTTGAGTCCTCTTGGACAGGGTACGCGTCGAACGACCAATATACCTGGCTCCAAAGCAGCAGGTGAACTGATATATGCACATAGAAGTGGTCAGATGCGGTATCTTGTTCTTGAGGCTTCTGCAGATCAGTGGGCGACTGGAGAACACTATTCTTAACGTTGCTGCAAAGAATGTTCTTCTCAGAGATGATGTGATCATACATACAAAATAACACAAATATATTTGCGATACTACGCATTGGGTGGATACCCTTACAGTCAATGGTGTGGCCCGGAAAGTCAAGTGAGTCAACGCCCATCTGATACTTTTGAATATTGATGGCAGCACCATGTAGGTGTAACCTTTCAAATTCTAAGTCCAGGTGTCTAAGGTGAGTTTCCTTGTCTGGACTGGCAATGAGGCAGTCATCTAAGTATGTGTATACAAAGTCGAGACCACGAAATACTTCGTCAGTAAAGCGTTGGAATGTTTGTGAAGTGAAGTTATTCAGACTAACAGACAGAATAGCAATAAGAAAACGTAACAACAGTCTGTAGTACCCCTATACCAACTATAAACATACGTTTTTAATCTAATTTGCATACTCATATTGTATGTTTACACATACCGATTTTATATGTACTTCGTAAACATTTGTCAATTTACTGTTGAACGTTACCTTGATACAATTTCGAAATTTGACTACTGCTATAATACACGATTACACTCTTCACAAGTGCCTTCTGATTTTAAGTTGTGGGCGTCGAGTAGCCACAACGTCTGCGCACATTGATAAACGTGAAGAAGTACTAGGAAATGCGTGTAGGCTCATTTAGTCAAATAGAAGACGCAACAAATTGGTGAGCCCGACGACAAATTGCTGACTCCGACGACTTTTTGACCTCGACGCGTCGTACACTTGCTGGATTATTAAAACTCTAACTTTCGCGGATCTATATATTTATTAAACAATTCGAACTCATTCTTGTGTTTGCTCATAGCACAACCTGCAGTAATTTGTGGTAAGCACCTGCATTGTATGCTTTTTTATTTTGCCATATTCTTATTGTGCACAAATTTTGCTACTCTTAAACCATTTTTTCACGAATTGTAACATGTCTTCCAATACCTCTGATAACTTAGAGCTGGGATCTGTTAGTACTATCTCTCTTACTGTACCAGTTTTTAAGCCCAGAGACCCTCATCTTTGG